CCCCCCCCCCCAAATAGCTGAAGATAATGTAGCTGGATGCAGAAAACATGTTGGTTCTTTTTATAGGGTGATAATTTGAGAGTTTCTGCTAGATCAAGTTTCGCTTTTCTTTCTACCTTTAAGCATTCAGAGTTTTGAAAAGAAGTCTCTGTGCAAATATTTAGGAAAAGGTTGCTCTTTGGCCCATCAGAAGGAGCATTTTCAAACTAAGTTTAGCCTTCTGGGAGAAAAGGTCAGTTGGATCCCTCGAAAGGCAAGAAACTTGATTTTTCCTCTAGCTCTTAAGGTTGCTAGAAGATACTCAGTGTTCCTCAACTACATCCAGATCAACGTTTGCTAGGCTGGGTGAGGGTTTGATGAGTGGGACACAGCCCCGGAAGAGTAATAGAGCCTCAGTGAGCTGGATCAGGCCCTGGGTTGGGTGTTTCTTTTAGGCAGACATCCTGGGTTGATGATGGTGAATGAAAAGAATGCACGTGGGTGTGTTGCTGACTCCAGCTCCTGAATGGTTCATCCTCATTTGGCAGAAGCATAGGTAGGTTTAGCAACACGTCCTCATAAAAATCAGCAGCTAAGTATCTTACATCAGATGAGGCATTACATTTTTTTACCAGATTACTTTGGATCCAGCTAAGGTGGAATTGTAGCAAAACCTACCTGGCAGAGCCCACAAGCATTCTCTTTGCAGGGCTGGAGAAAAACAATTAAGTCACTTACTAATGGTGGGACTGCAAAGTAATTGGGTGTGTTTCACTCAAGATGCTAAGCCATGGTTTCTTAAGCAAGGTTTGCTAAAGAAGCTACCATTCTCAGATTGAGCGGAGCCATACATCTAGGCTTAGAAATCACGGTTGGGTTTGCACAATGTGCTAAGTCCAAAATCATGAAGTCATGAATAAGCACAATGTGATGTGTGAATGTGTTATATTCTGTTTAACGCACGTCAGGCACCTATTGCTGCTTTTCTGTAATTGAAGCTATAGGAGCAGTGGCACGTTTGTTATCAGGATCACAGTGGCTTGGAGACAGGTTGATGGCTTCTACGGTGGGTTCCTTCAAAAAAATTTTGGGGCGGGGAGGGAGCAGTTGGGGTGATGATAATCCTCCTCCCTCCATGCAGGAACCCTAATAGCAGTATCTCCTGGTCTGGTTGCAACTTGCAATTAATTAATTAATTTCTAAAATCAAAGCCAGGCTAACCTTCTCTGTATTGTTCCAGCGTCTGTGTGTGTGTGTGTATGGAGACAGACAGACAGACAGACGGCTCTGCTGCTGGCTCTGATTTTAGTCATTGTCAAAGTTTATTATGGGTCACTGACCCTGACTGACTGAATGTCTGTCTGTCTCCATCCATCCACCCCCCACCCCCACCCCCCATACAGACTGGAATAATACAGGGAAGATTAGCCTGGCTTTGATTTTAGAAATTGTGACGCATCCCTTCTGATTGCATGAATTGATTTGGGAGACAGGGAGCGTTACTGTGTCAAAGTTGGCACGCGCTTGCTAAAATATGGAGTATCGTGCTTCTCTGCAGAGCAGGACATCAAGTTGCTCTGTCGTCTCAACGATTGGAGTGGTGTGACCATCAGGCCACAGATGCAAGAATGCCTCTGTCCTATCCAGAAACTAAGTGTGTGCGTTGTTACCATCAGTAGATCCTTATCGCTGTCTCAATCTCGTTTATCTCTGGTCCAGCCAGAGCGATTCTGTGTTGAGTATCTCGCTTAGCCTTTCTTTGCTTCCTGTCAGGCCCAGCCCAAAAACAACAGAGAAACAGTCCAGCCAAGTTCAGTTCTTTTATGGCTTACACCATATGGACATAATCTTGCCAGGCTATGTTAACCTAGCGGATACACCCAGGGAGATTCTAGGGAGTGGCTATCCTAAATCTCTTCCTCTTCCCACGCTCCTGCTCCAGACTCTGCAGTCTCTCGTCTCCCCTCTCCCCTCTCCCTCCTCCCTGGTTGCATTCCATCACACCGCCTTACTCAATTCAACGCTTCACACAGCTGGTCGTGTGTCTAGGCTCCACTGAGCCTTTTACTGTAATTTAATTTCCCTTTTGGAT